TGTCCTCTACAACTATGCCAATTTAATCGAGATGCATTCAGCAGTTTAGGCTACAAACTCTAACAAACATCCATCCATCCATCTAAATTTTCGCATTTATAATATTAATTAGATGTATGTTTGGTGCTATCACTATTTAGTGGAATGTACTATGTTTTGTTATTTGCACTACACGGTGTAGTATATACAATGTTTTGTGTAGTTACACTCAAAGTTTACGTACAATTGTTACTCTGTTGTGTAATTTATACTCAGTTTTGTGCAGTCTGTATTATGTTTTGTACAGTCTATACTGTTTTATGCAGTCTATATTATGTTTTGTGCAGTCTATACTATGTTTTGTGCAGTCTGTACTATGTGTTATGCAGTCTGTACTATGTTTCGTTGTGTGATGACATCATTTTGGCAGCCCGTGGACGTGACGGAGGAGTGCAAGCTGATAGTGCGGAGCGTGCGGCAGCTGAACAGCGGCAGGACGTCGTTCACGCTGCTGCAGCTGGCCGACGTGCTGCGCGGCTCCAACCAGCAGCGGCTCGCCGAACTGCGTAATACTCCATTACACGGCAGGTCAGGAATACACTAATACACTACAACTATTACACTACACTACAACCACACTTGCGTCTTAATATATATAGGTGTTTCATTCTATTGTTTTTTTGTTTATTTGAAACGAGCTTTCCCTCTTGACTTTGTCCTCGTGAAATTGAAAAACTTCACGATGTTACTCAGCGATAACGAAGACGAAGGAATTAGTTTTTGAGTTATTCCAATACATGCATAATACCAAAAATATAAATCTGTCCTCTTATAATATTAGTATAGACTAGCTTTAATAGCACGCAGTTAAAATCGCGGGCAAAAGTTAGATGATAATTATTTTTAATTAGTTAGTTAGTTCAAAGTATTATTAAGCATTTTTAAGTGTTTTAACCATATATTTGTGTCTATAAACTGTATATTTCCAACGTGATGTATGCACAAAGATGTAAATCGTGGGAGCGCGGCGCGGTACAGCGGCTGCTGCGCCAGCTGGTGGTGCGCGGCGCGCTGGCCGAGCGCCTGGTGGTCAACAATGACATCGCCACCGCATACCTGCAGCTAGGACCTAACGTTGACAAGTCAGTACACAATTACACAATAACACGACTACACAATAATGCATAATTACACAAAGAAACACAACTATACAACAGAACAACGACACAACAAGAAATTACACAATCACACAACAAAACATAAC